CTCCTCTGAAACCCTTCACAGGTTTGCTGTGAGTCAAAACTAATCCGACAGCACTTAACAACAACAATAAGCTTTAGCTATCAATCTTTATTGGTATAAAAACTGTCCAGGATAAAAATTTCATTTCATCTTCATAGGAAAGTTGTCACTGAATTTCTATGCTGTGGTAAGGGTCTTAGGGAAAAGAGCAGTGAACAAGACTATAGATCTTTTTCTTCATAGAATTTAGCAGACTGGGAGCATAAAGACTGACTGTTACCAAATCATCTTAATACATAGTAGAAATTTGTATTTCAGTAACTAAAGTATTTTGTGCTTCTTCCTCCTGTACAGATGGTGAAAAAAGCCAAGACAATGATGAAGAAGGCTCAGAAGAAGATGAATCGCTTGGGAAGGAAAGGGGAGGCAGACAGACATGTGTTTGATATGAAACCCAAACACTTACTCTCTGGAAAGAGGAAATCTGGTAAAAAGGACAGGAGATAGTGTCCTTTTCACTGAAAATGTTTGTCTGAACTATGGGGGTTTTGTTTTGTTTAGTTATGTGTATGTAGTAAAATATACAAAACATAAAACTAAACATTGAGTATATAATTCAGTGGTGTTAAGTACATTCATGCTATTGTGTTATGTTTGGTTTGCTTTGCTTTGGAATTTCCTAAAGTAGGAGGTAAAGATTATAAACAAAATACGTAAAGCACTTGTTGCTTTTCTGAAAATCGTGGTTAACAGGTTAAGTTTATATGAGTATGAGAAAGTTTTGTTACACCTTGCTATTGAAACTCTGTTGAGTGGGCAGTGACATCAGAGTTTAATTGCTTGCTTCAGAGTCACAGAACTGGAAAGACCTAACTGATGTAACTGTGTTACTTTTGATGGAGAAAAACCTTATGAATTGACCTTCATACAGGAAAACATCTCCACTTGTGGGCTTAGGAGATGACTCCCTGGGTCCCAGAGGGAGGGAGTGGTGATGAGTAGACTGGGCCCTTAAGGCTTCAGGTGCTCCTGAATGATTCAGTGCCTTTGTCCATTATAGCCGTGTAAATCTGTCTCCACCTGCTTTGTCCCAGATACAGTTCTGTCAGAAAGTACTTTATTTTGTTTGTCTTTTTTTTTCTTTCTTTTTTTTGTGTGTGTGTTTAGTTATAAATCACGAATGATTTGGGCACATGAAAAGGGCAAAAAATCATTATGTTTACCAAACACAAAGTACATTATTTGGAATAAAGTTTTAGTTACAACAGTTAAATGTGGGCATCTCCTGCTTCCTCTTGTTCTAGGCAGAAAATTATATGTGCTCAATAAACACACAAATACCCTTTCCCCATAGTTCCTCTTAGGAGCCCATTTTACTATTCTTTTAATTGGAAAAACTGTGTGTGGGGGGGTGTATGTATGTATAATAAATATATATATACTTGTATGTATATGAAACAGTAAAATGTAACTCTCATGTTTTAGGCTATCAAATATTTAAAACATATTTTGACCACAGAACAGCCCCATGTTAGCATCTGCTTTGTATACAATAACTAGAAACTGGTGGGCATTTCTTTGCCAGTTCCCCCTGCTGACTTTGGTGCACAGTGACAGTCTTTTATTGTATGTGAAATTCTTGCACATACAGTACTGGAAATGTTGTACTACATCTTGGGGCCATAGAGTAAGATTTTCATCTACTGAAAAAAGTTGCATTAAAAGATACTCAAACTCGAGAGAACAAACAAGATGGCGGATCGGGTGAACGTATAGCAGAGAGCTCCGCCAACAACAACACAGAATACCCGAACAAGTAGGCTCAGGGGATGGTCCCAGAACTCTGAATCACATATATAGGAATACTTAGAAGGTTGGAAGGCTCACAGCTGGGGGAATTTGTGGCAGAAGCAAGAAATCTATTGCTTTCTAGACCAGGACGCTCAGGTGCTCCAGGAGCCGCCATCTTGGATGCGGCCACAGACGCCTGGCAGAACCGCTGAGATAAAGGTGTGGACATTCTTCTCTTTTGGT